AATCTTCTGGGGTGGTGGTTGTGGTTGCCTTTGATGTGGTAGTTAGTGGCTTCATTGATGTAGTTGGCGGCTTCGGTGTGGTGGTTGACAGCGGAGACGGCGAAGTGGTGTTGACAGTGGGAATTTTTCTGGTGGTGGGAGTATTGGTATTTTGAGGGGTGGTGATTGTAGTGTGGACGCTGCTGCCAGTGGTGATGGAATTGGTGATGGGGACAAAAGAGCCGCTGGAGGCGCTAAACAAGAGCGGGGCTGGAGTAGTGGGGAGAGTAGTGGTTGTGGTAGGGACGGTTGTTAGTCTAGGGGTAGTGAGCGGTGAAGTGGTAGTGGGTGAAGTAGCGATGCCAGCTGTTGTTGTGATAGTGGTTACAATAGTGGTTTTGGAAGTGGAATTAGTAGTCGTATTGACTTGATTTGCGGGAGTTTCAGTTATGGCTTGCGTCATAGCAGGAATTGTGGTAGTGGTTGTGACAGATATTGTAGAGGAAATTGATGATGTTGTGGTATTCGTTGCTGTTGATGTTGTGATAGATTTTGTGATGGGGGCTGTAATGACAGACGTCGTTGCGGACGTCGTGGTAGATGTTATGACATACTTTGTGGTGAAGGTTAGTACAGGCGTCGTCGAGGAAGACGAAGGAACAGGCGTCGTGGAGGACAAAGGAACAGGCGTCGTGGAGGACGTTGTTAAAAGCATCGTGGAAAGTGTTGTTTCAGGCGTCGTGTTAGATGTTATTACTGACGTATTTAAACGTATTGTGGTAGACGTTGTTAGAGATGTCGCGGTAGATAATGCCACAGGAGTTGTCAAAGATGTTGTTATAGGTGTCGTGGTAGATGTTGTTACAGGTGTTGTGGCAAATGATATGACAGGTGACGTAGTAAATGTTATTGCAGGTGTTGTTGGAGATGTTACTATAGGTGTTGAGTCAGATGTGGTCACAGGTGTCATGGAAGATGTTGCAGGTGTTGTGATAGATGTTGTTACAATCGACGAAACATATGTGGTTTCATGTGTAGAGAAATTGTTTATAAAACTGCTGGTGGTAAATGCTATCTTTCCAAATGTTGATGTGGTGGTAGTTGTGGTTGTAGATGGAGTAGTTGTGGATAATGTAGTTGTACAGGGAATAGTAGAAGTAAATATTATAGGTGTAGACAGAGCAGTGGAGGATATAATGGTTATAGGTAGACTAGTGGCTGATATTATAGTTGTTGATGCAGTAGTAGTGGATATTATGGTTGTAGATAGAGTAATGGCCGGTGTTATGGTTGTAGATGGAGTAGTGGTAGATAGCATGGTTGTAGATGGAATAGTGGTGGATATTATGGTTGCAGTTGGAGTAGAAGTAGATATTACGGTTGGAGATGAAGTAATGGTGGATGTTATGGTTCTAGATAGAATAGTTGTGGATATTATTGTTGTAGAGGGTGTAGTGGTCGATTGTATGGTTATAGATGGAGTAGTGGTGGATATTATCGTAGTAGATGTAGTGGTGGATCGCATCGTTGTAGATGTAGTGGTGGATATTATGGCTGCAGATGGAGAAGTAGTGAATATTATTGTTGAAGATTGAATTGTGGAAGATTCTGTCGTTATAGAAAAAGTAGTGGTGAATATTATAGATGTAGATGGAACAGTGGCAGATATTATAGGTGTTGATGAAGTAATGGTGGGTGTTATGGTTATAGAAGGAGTAGTGGTGGATATAATATGTGTAGATGGAGTAATGGTGGATGTTTGGGTTGTAGATAAGGTACTGGTGGCAATTATGGTTGCAGGTAGAGTAGTGGTAGATATTATAGTTGTAGATTGAGTAATGCTGGATATTAATGTTGAAGATAGAGTAGTGGTAGATAGTATGGTTTTAGATGGAGCAGTGGTGGATATTATTGTTGCAGATGAAGTAGTAGTGGATATTATGGTTGTAGATAAAGTAATCGTGGATGTTATTGTTGTAGATAGAGTCGTGATAGATGTTAAGGATATTGATGGAGTAGTGGTGGAAATTATGGTTCTAGTTGGGGTACTGGTGGATATCATGGTTGTAGATGAAGTAGTGGTGGATATTACGGTTGCAAATGGAGTAGTAGTGTATATTATTGGTGTTGATTGAGTAGTAATGAATATTATGGTTGTAGATGAA